CATATTTTTTTTAAATAAAATAAATTAAATAGAAATATTATGTGTATTTTTGTATGTGGAAACATGGCTTGCCCACTAAAAAATATAAAGAAGTGTGGTCTGCAGTTCTTTTTTTTTAATTTTTTTATTTGTGAAAAAAACTTGAGTGTAAACAATAAAACACTCACAGTGCAAGGCTAGTTCACCAACATGTCTATTCTCTTGCTTGAGTGTGAAAGTACATGGTTTAGTGACTACCTCTTATATTTTTAAATTTTAGAATTTTTTTTTATTTCGGAAGGTTCTTCTATAAAAATATATATACAATATATACAATATATATATATATATATATATTGTAAAGTGTTACTGAGAGTGAAAATATTTGTTCGTGTTGGTCATATATATTTTTTAATTTCCTTTATTGGGCCTAAATTCGATACAACTGATACAAACACATTTTTTGCATGATGTGGCAGCTGTGAACTTCAGTTGTCATAGTTTCTTTCATGTTCAGTGCATGGTATATTCTAGTTATTCACCTGGGAGTGTTAATAACTTTGATAACATCATTGTAGAGTTCATCTGGAGTCAGCGTACCAATATTCAGAATAACTGCCATGCCTTTACTAGATACTCTGCTGAAAGTATCATCATGATCACCATACAAAGGAAATCCAACCATTGGAACAATATGATATAGAGCTTCATATACACCATTCATGCCGCCATGAGTTACACATGCTTTGGTTTTAGGGTGCCCTATAAATTAAATGAGGTAAAACAGCAGTTACTCCACAATGCAGAGGAAAATTCAATACGTGTCTAGTAATAATAAGCGCATGGTGAAAGTTGTGGATAGTTTCATATATATATTTATGTTTGCGCTATATTTGGGTAATTTTGATTTCTTGGGCTCCCACACACAGGGCACTTCCATTATATTTTTGTAACATTGTATTTTTAGTAAGGAGGTCTTTGCTATCAAAACAATTATAATAGCAGGTAGATACCGAAAAAAAACAATTGTTTATGGCTATCTGGTTTTAATTCATAATTGTTTCACCTTTCAATCATCGTAACGGTTCAGCTAGGTAAAATACCTTAACTACTACATATCTATATCTGATTTAACACACCTAGCAGGTAAATTATTTTGTGGCGTCCATTTTGTCAATTTGGTATTATTATCAAAAGTTGTTGGTAGAGGTCCATTATAGTTCATGATTACATTCTGTGGTAATCTGCAAGCTCGGCGCAAACCAGTCGGGACAGTGTGCAAGATCCACCATCGAACCTCAAGAAAAATAATAACACCCGCCTATGCCTAGCAGACTCAATAAAATCAGCCCTCTCCTGCAATGGCAAAACGTTCCACGTCAAATTGAAATTATGTTGTAAAACGTGTTGGTTTGTACTTAATGAGCGTTAACGCAAATAACGTTAAAAAGCCACGGGTGTTTGGTGCTGTCCAATCCTCCGAGACGTTAAATCCATGCCTAAAAATACGTGGTAAAACAGTGTGAGAGACCACATATAAATGTTGAAATTGACGAAAGACCAGGTTCATTTTTTAGGCGTTAGCTTCACGTTCATGTCTACCAAGGCTACCACCGAAAACTTGTTATTTGTTTTTGTAGTAAAGCGGATCGCCAACCAAACTACCGGCTTGTATACGTGTATGCGAGGCACCAACTTTTGGTGGAAGTTCTTTTAA